CTGGGGTTTGGTGTCCCCACAAAGCCACAGGAGCTCCGTGAACCAGTTTCAGGGAGAGCGAATGTGTGTCAGTTTGTGTCCTCCTCGTTAAATCAGGCCGGCAGTCGCTCCACTTTTCTAGAACACCCTCCCCGCTTTCTGCTCCAGCCGAGACTTTTTTCCTTAAACTTTCCTGCTTTATTTCTTTTTTTATGTGCTTTTTAGTAACTGTGTAAAAGCAGAAGTGGAGCATCAGAGAAGCGTCTGGGACGGGAGGGAACGCTCCTCTAGCTAATGCTACTCTAGCAGGTTCTGTGTGCTTAGTAAAGTAAATCCAAACGTGGATGCTCGAGCGGGCCGGGGTTCTTCTAACCCAGAAACTAGGACACGCCTTTGAATCCCTGGGGATTCCCGTCTGAGCCTCCGTCTACATTATTATCATTGTGTTGGATCCTCGTGGATCGCTTCCGCTCAGCGGCGCGTTTAGCTCCGACCTGCTACATCACCAGCAGCGTGTTTCCATGCATTTCTATGCCAGCGGAGTTCTGCGCGTGGAGGCGATGTTCCAGAGAGCATTTTTGATCGATGACTCGCCGTAACCAGGCGGTAGGAGCTTGGCACCACCCGACTGGAGCCATTCTTTCAGGGGGCTGAGAGTCATCCGGGTTGGCTCTTTTATTATATTATCATTATTAGTCTCTTTAAATGATTCTTGTTGTTTTTTAAACCCGCCAGCATGCCAGCCGAGCCCGACTGCTCCAGGGTTACTTCACATGCGGTCCAATAAGTTGGACATAAATGGGAAAAAGAGGTCGGGATTTCATGCCTAAACATGTTTGGGATAAATATGACGCTAAAATCAATTATGCACGTATGTTTTTTTCCACTGTGCAGGCTTAGCATTGGGCAAAAGGCTATAAATGATCCTTTATTGCTGTTTGTGGCCTCCTCTCTGCATCAGAATGACTTTCAATTAAAACCCAGCGCTACAATTCAATTCAATTCAAGTTTATTTATATGGCGCCAAATCACGACAAGAGTCGTCTCAAGGCACGTCACATAATAAAAATTCCAATTCAGGTCAGTTCATTAAGCCAATCAGAAATAATGTTTCCTATATAAGGAACCCAGCAAATTGCATCAAGTCACTGACTAGTGTCAGTGACTATACAGCAATCCTCATACCAAGCAAGCATGAAGCGACAGTGGAGAGGAAAACTCCCTTTTAACAGGAAGAAACCTCCAGAGAATCCTGGCTCAGTATAAGCAGCCATCCTCCACGACTTCAATTGAATTTGATGAGAATAGTTTCATCTACGATTGAAACCTGAACCCATGGACGTAATTTTCACTTTAGAAGTGGGGGGGACATGGGCGGTGGGGGGGCAGGGGGGTGGATCTTTACAGTATGTTCTAATGGGAAACAGGCTTCAACACAAACGGTTGTTTTCTGCTTGGTCCTAGAGCTCAACCGGTGTCACTTTAATATAGCGTAATGTTGTTTTTGGATGGAAAAAGTGCAGGGGTCAAACCTTGACTTTGGAAAAAGTGGGGGGGACATGGCCCCCCCTGTCCCCCCCAAAAAAATTACATCACAGGTGGCGTGAGGACTCATCACACAACCATACCTGGAATTTCTTAGGTGTGTTCTTGCTGTGTCGTTTCTCTAATTCAATGCATTAGTTTTTTAAAACGCAGAGCAGTTCTGTTTACCTGTTGTCCCGCTACGTTGCGTTTGCGGCGGCAAACGCAACGTAGCGGGACAACAGGTAAACAGAACTGCTCTGCGTTTTAAAAAAGAACTACAGCATGGCATACTTGGAATTAACCCCAAAGGAGGTCATTTAACAGCTAAATCTGCAGATCGGTCCAATTTGAGAGAAAAGCAACAGATGTGGTTGTGACTCGGGTGATGAAAGGACGACGTCTACGGAGGGGGAAGGCGTTTTATCCGGATCACCTCCATAACGGTAATGGATAAAGTGGTCGGGAAGCTAATGGAGAAGCAAGACGTTAGACAGCGTGACGAGAGGAGCCGAGGAGGAAAATCGATGTTTCTCCTCCCGTGCTCGTCTGGCTCGCTGTGATGGGCCTATCGGTGTAGCTCGGCATCAAACCCACCTCTCTGAGGTTTAGATTGTCTGTGGACTGGAAAATGAGGACGTTTCTCTTTGGGAACTTCCCCAGGCTCGTTTTTGTGATTTCACGTGGGTTAGGGCTATTTAAAGTCTACGTTTTGTTTTAAAATCCTCTCTGCTGCTCTGAAGCTGCCATGTTTGGACTAGTTGGCTCCCCCACTCCGACTCCTCCTGCATAGACATATGTGGAAACACACGCTCCTCCTCTGACTTGGACTCGAGTGACTGAACGCTCCAGCGGCTCCCGCTGAACTTGTGGGTTTGCCGACATCCGGATGCATTGAAATCTCCTCCATTGTTATCCATGTCTCCTCCATTTATCCTCCCATCTTTTCTCCCTGCTGCCGTCCATCACAGCTCTGACCCCCCCCCCCCACCCCCCCCCCCCCCCCCGAGTAGACTCCTGATGAGTTTGTCTCCCTCTCTTTCACATGTCGTCACCCGCGTGGCAGCTCTCCTCACCATGGATGATGAGGACAGGGAAGAAGAACGCATCCTGGTAGGAGGGCGGTCGATCCCTCTCACCCTCTCTCACCTCTCCTCCACCTCCTCCTCCACTTTCCTGCTCTGCTTCCTCATCCCTCTCCCCTCCCCTGCTTTCCCTCCTCCTCACCTCCTCCTCTTCCTCCTCGTCATCTCCTTCGAGCACCCCTCGAGTTTCTTCGTTGTTCTGCCTCGAGCCTAACCCCAAGAATCCCCCGCTCCCTCCCCCTCCGCTGCTCCCTCCCCCTCCTCCGCTGCTTCCTCCCCCTCCACTCCCACCGCCCTCCTCTCTGCTGCCTCCCAGTCCTCCCCCCATGCTTCTTGAATGAAACAAGCTGTTCTGGCGCACACCTCCGAGTCTGCCCAGGGAGAATCCACTCCGACTGAGCACCAGTCTCCCTCCTATCCCGCCGCTTCCCGGCCCCGCTGCTCGGATCCCTGCCACAGTAGCATTCAGGAGGGCCGTGGTTCCCATCGGGGCCCTCAACCTGGAGGGAAGACTGGCACTTGATGTGGTCCTCCTACATCTGGGGCAGCTCTGCAGGAGGTAAGCAGAGTTGAAGACCACAGGCAGAGTCAGGGGAGGCGGGTGGTTGGTCTGAGCTGGAGTGACACCTGGAGGTCCAGAGAGGGGCGTAGAGACCGTGGGATTCGTCCCTCCGCTTGAGTCCATGTCCATAAGGATGGCCTCGGAGTAGCTCGGGACCATTTGTTGGTTACAACGGATGTGCCACTCTAGTTCCGTCATGTCCACTGTGTTGACCCGAGAGATGGCCCTGTAGCTCGTCCCATTCAGTCCAAATCCAATCCCAATCCCTCCCGGATGGATTCCATTCTCAGTCCCTCCTTCGACCCCATCTCCTCTTCCTCCTCCAACTTGTACCGCTCCTCCAACGCCTCCTCCGACCGGGTCCTCATCCTCCCCGAACAGCTTCTCGACGTGGTAGTGGACATATGCCATGCGATACTCCGACACCACCCGCAGCGGCCACGACAGCAGGAAAGCGGAGGCCAGCCAAAACACCTTGTGCCTGGAAAACCACGGCTGGTGAGCGGGATCTGGGAACGCCAGGATGTGCTCACGGAAATCCACGTTCTTCAGGTGCATTCCCTCCCTGGCTTCCATGTAGTCATCAAGTCCCTCATTTTCCCCGAAGAAGCGAGCTCGCTTACCGCCACAGAGCAAGAAACACAACACACCATGTTAGCATTGTTCTGAGCTACCTGATGAACAGTACAGGTGAGGGAATTCCACGGGTTCTTCATCACTGAGCTAAACATGCGGAGACAGCATTCTTCTCTTACCTGGGTGAGGTAGGCAGCTTCGGCACGAGCACTAGAGAAGCTAAGACACACAAAAATGTAAAAACAAGAAGAAGCAAACGCCTTTAGAACCCAACTGCACCTAACGTCGGCTCCGACTGAGACGCGGTTACGTTCTGCACCTGAAACACTTTGTGAAACGGAGGCGAACAGCAGGGTGCCGCTCCAGCTCCAGCAGCTGTTTGGACACATCTTTGACGCCGTAGCGAGCGTAGTCGAACTCTGAACTGGAGGCGTGAGTGTTCACCCGCTCATGGTAGACCTGAGGAGGGAGGGTTCGGAGAAAAAACACAGCCGTTAGTACAAATTAGAGCTGGGCGGTAAAACGATGGCAATATGTATTTAGAAATAACTTTTCCTCGACGGATATCTGACAATGGGTCGGTAGAGCTTAGAAATAGAGCCACGCAGCTCAGTAGCGCTGCTAACGGTTAATGTTAGCATAGCTTTAGCTTGCTGCAGGTAACAGGTTACATGGCTGGTGGAAAACAGAAAAAACAAGAACCCCAAACAGAAAAAAAGAGACGGAGGACACAGCAAATGACATCGTTGACAATAAAGGACCAAACAGTTCGGCCCTGTGGATGTAGTTTGGCTAGCATCATAGCTGCAAAGCTAACGTGGTGAATGCAGGTTGTGACAAAGTCAGGGGAAGCCACTGATCTGTTCGGGCTCATAAACCAGCTCCACCAGCGGGCGAAGCAGGATGTAAAACGTTAAAGTTGCTCACGTCTGGAATCATGAAAAGATTTACTTTACGAATAATGCATGTGGCACGCAATGTCTGTGTGTGTGTGTGTGTGTGTGTGGGGGGGGGGGGGTGGTTTAGCATTCTCCCGATATCTGTGAAAGGAGGGGGCATCACTGGAAGACAAAATGAACGGTTCTCTACAAGGACTCGTTCATTTGGAAGAGCCGTTCAAAAGATTAGATTCGTTCGTGAACATCCATCCATCCATTTTCTGAACCCGCTTGTCCACGCAGGGTCGCGGGGGGGGGGGGGGGCTGGTACCTATCTCCAGCGGTCAACGGGCAATCAGGCGGGGTACACCCTGGACAGAGAGCCAGTCCATCGCAGGGCAACACAGAGACACACAGGACAAACAATCATGCACACACACACACACACCTAAGGACAATTTAGACAGACCAATCAACCTAACAGTCATGTTTATGGACTGTGGGAGGAAGCCGGAGAACCCGGAGAGAACCCACGCATGCACAGGGAGAACATGCAAACTCCATGCAGAAAGATCTCAGGCGGGGAATCGAACCCAGGACCTTCTCGCTGCAAGGCAACAGCTCTAACACTGCGCCACTGCGCAGCTCGTTCGTGAACAACACATCACTAATAATTTGAGTTCTGTTCTCCTCTAATGCTTGAATATTTTAGCTTAAAATAACATACTTTTTATTTATCCAAAACAATTATCTAACGTCTGATGAGACATTCAGCTTTTGAAAATAAATCTATATAATAAAAATGATCCTTCTGATATCTTCAAATCTCAATTTAAATGACCAGGAAACGTTAAGATTTACAGACTAGTGACTTGTTTTACATCGATCCATATGAAAATTCATATTGTGATGGGGATTCTCTCCGTATCGCCCAGCCATAGTACAAACGTACAAACAATCAAACTTTGTTTTCCTCTTTAACGATGCTGCTTTAAAAGTAGCGAAGAGGTGCTTTGGAACCTGTCCAAACAGGAAGTCAATGTGTATAAAAATGTGGGTTTTGGTAGCTGAAGACAATGGTGGTCGGTGTATTCTGTGGTGCAATGAGGGCTGCAGTTACTGAATATTTTATTAATCAAGTACTTTATTGAATAATCCATCAATTTAGAGTACTTAGATATTATCTACACCTGCTGTTCCAATATCACCAATCAAAAGCAGCTCTCTCCCGCCTTAGCTGTCAGATCCGTGCAATTCCGTGTGCAGGTACATGTTGGGATGTCGGGGCTGATCAGTTCACTTATTTATTTCTTGAAAACATTCTTCTGAACATTAGTCTAGACGGATAGGAGAGCTACACGAGAAAAGTACCTGAAACTCCTTGTTCGACCTGGCTGAGTACAGCAGCTTGTCTTTAAATAATCCAAAACTTCCAATCTGTTCATGTGGAAATATTTATTCAGTTTAAAAGCAAGTAAGATCCGACAACTTCTGACTCCTTTATTTAGAAATGTGTGCAAGTTGATAAAACTGACTTATTTCGTCTTGAAGCAGAATCTGTTCATAAATACTTTTTAAGTAGAGAACTCCATGTTTGAATCTTCAGCCTACTCCAGGGATTGATAACGCTACTTCAGCTGGTCACACTGTAAAGACTGACTGTGTTCACAGAATATACAGCTTTAGAGTTTAATGAAGCCTCTAATCTGATTTTTTGTGGTGAATAATCTAAACCCTAACATGTACTCCAGAGTGTTTTGCCCTTGTTCTGCCATCTTTACTTCCGCTGACCTTAAAGCGCTCCCTGTACACTTGACGATGGATTTACGATTCATTGATTTATGAAAATTAATCAACAAGCTAAATCAAATTTAATAACTGTGAAAATAAAGAAAGCGTGTGACACAATAATTTGAGCATTTGAATCGTATTGATTATAATGCTTCTGAGATCATCTGAGGTTGAAATTAATATTTAAATCAGAAATGTGATTACCTGAACAAAACTAACTCAGAAAAGGACCTTTGACACAAGCCCCTCCCCCCTCACCTGTGTGGTTGTGTATGCATCTCCATTGCGGTATCTGGTCACTTGTCTGGTTCTCCTCACATAGTGATAACTGATGGCCTTCCACCAAATACAGGGCGTGGCCTGCTGGAGCCGCTGCACGCGCTCGTACACTTCCTGTCAAAGGATGAACGGCTCATTTATGATGTTGAAAATGGACATCGGTCAACATATGAACAAGAAAAAAAACAGAAGCCTTTATTTCATCACAAAAGCCTTTGCTGGATAAAACAAGGCATCTGATGTTTACAACTACGTTTAAACTGGCTATAAAAAGGTGATGAGTTCACTGAAGAATCTGATTGTCCAACATTATAGATGTGATTTGATTTATGCTGCACAATCTCACTCAGTAACTCCTCTTCCAGCTCTGTTGGTAGTTTGCTTGAGAAATGATGAAAGCTGTGAATCCAGAGGTTTAAAACTGTAGTGTGTGTATTCTACACACCAGCCTACCAAACAAAATAAGATATTTAATGAGTTACGGTGGACTTTTACCACCTCAGCTTAGGAAATCTCTCGTTTTAAGTGTACTTTCAGGTTTAAAATGACATATTTGTCTTTAGGCAGCCACAGTGTGAACAACGAGGTTCTTATCACATGACTGCAGTAAAACTAGTGCCACACAACCCCTAATACATCTGTCTGCTGGTAGAAGCAGATAAACAGCTTCTGAATAGGCAATAGTATTCTAGAATGTGTGAGAACAGGCCAGAGCCCAAAACTATCTTGGACACGTCATTTCTACAAGATTGGGCAATCACTTCCTCCTGGTGTTGTAGAAATGTCTGAAGATCACAACCTTTCCTTTGAAACTAAAACTTTAGTACAACATGGGGGATTTCTTCTGTCTCCACTTGTAGACTAGATGTACTTTTCTCACCATCTAGTTTCATCACATACCTGGAATTCAGCATGAGCCAACATGGCCGTCTTGGAGAAGCAGTGCCAGCACTCAACCAGGTACACCACATACAGCATGGCCAGGAAAGCCAGGGGGATGTAGACGTAACCGCTGGAGCACGGGCTCTCCAGGTGCAGGATGTCGTTGTAGTAGGCTGCTGACGTGGCGTCGTCGTCAGCACCGAGCGGCACGGACGAGGACCCGAGGACAGGCACGCGACAGAGGGCACACCAGGCCAGGGTGGCAAAACAGCCATACATGAGGAGGGTCAGGAGAAGGCACTTCCAGTGGGACTCTCGGCACAGAGAGGAGGCCAGAGACTGCTGCACTGGCCTCTGCTGTCCACACACACACACACACACACACACACACACACACACACACACACACACACACACACACACACACACGGAACAAATGTTAAGATGGTGCCAACACCCTGATCTCAAGGTCATTTTTCCATGTTAATCACTTGATATTATAAAGTTTATAATCTGATGGATTATTTAACGTACAAAAACGATCATGAAATAAGAAAATGTCCACAACTCTAAACTCTTTCGTCATGATAGGCCAGCCGTTTTCTTTTCATGACATTAAGACCAGTGCTCTGTAACCAGGGCTCTGTGATGGGCTCGACACACGGGAGGCGACCCGCGGCAGCGGCAAAGCCGTCTACGCGTTCTGTTCCATGGTGAAATCGAAACTTCCGTTGTTTTGCTTGGCTGTGTCGGGTTGGAGGGAATTAAGGTTATTTAAGCGGTTCAGAGTTAATAAAGTGGTAGATATGATGTTTCACAAGTTGCTGCTAGAGTTATGTGAAATCTTACTTCTGATTTTACTATAAAACATAATAATAATCAACTTCTCCTCCATGTTTGCTCGGAGATGTACGGAGCATCCTGTCCACTCATTGGTCAGTGAATGAAACCTCCGTTGATTGGTCCTCGTCCGAGCGACAGCGATGAAAAGTTGAAAATGTTTCAACTTTCTGGGATCGCGTCGCTGGGTCGCCTGTGCACGACACGTGCACGAGCGCAAAATTTCACACGCACGTTTTTCGCGTTTCGCTTAGTAGGAGGGAGACCCGCGATCATCGCTTTGTCGCGCATGTCTCATTGAAAATGAATGGAGGAGAGGCGATGCCGCCTCCCGTGTGTCGAGCCCATAACCAGGGCTCTGTGAGGACCATACTAATAAAATCAATGACTGTAGATCTGGAGTCAATTTAAAGCCAGATGCACCCCTGGAAGTTTTGCATGACAGATCAGTAGCTGCTCATATCAGTCACCAATAATCCTGACTAAATCTCCAACTTCATTTGTGAAAATGAAACCCCAAACCTGTGTGATTTTCTCCTGCAGACTCATTATTGTGCTATTGTCCTATCTGGGCTTATTGACAAACTGTTCTTTTCTCCACACCCGTACATTTCAAGTCTAATGTTTTTGTGTATAGCTCATTGTGAGTGTGTTTTTGCATGTAGGACCACTTCTGATCATTCTTCCTCTGACAGTAGACGACTTTTACCTGGTCTCATCTGCCACTTCTGAGCTGATGGCTCTGCTCGACGTCTGATTTCAAGTAAAGCTTTTTGGGATGGAAATCTACTTTGACCAGCACATCTGGAGTTTGGAGTTTTAAAAAGATGTTTCAAAATATCTGACGGTTCTCAGAGTCACAGGGTCTGGCATCCGAGTTTTAAAAACATTGCTAGACCAATTCTAGAAACTAATCTCAAGTACTCTGTGAAGGATTGGGAATAAAATTATGGTAAATTATGACATTAAGTTACTTTGTGACTAAATTCCAACAAAAGAATAAAGATTGTGGTAGCTGTTTGATCATAATTACGTCGTACGTTCAATTTGATCGTCTTTATACTTTAATGAATTTTTTTAAAGTCTACTAGGGACGTCCAGATACAACCTTTTCACTTCCGATACGATACTGACATCGCAGCTTTGGTATTGACCGATACCGATATTAATCCGCTTAGTGTTGTCACGGTGTGAAAATTTAACCTCACGGTTATTGTGACCAAAATGATCACGGTTTTCGGTATTATCGCGGTATTTTTTTTAAACATGTTAAATTTTCAGGAAACTAAATAAACCCTATATCAGGAAAATATTGTCCTAGTTTGTGTCTAAATTTTGCCTAAAAAGTGTTATTTTGTAATTATGTTGTTTATTTGTTTACATTTTTCCCCTTTAGTCTTTAAAATACCAATATTTGCCCATAACTTCTTATTCTTTGTCTGTTTGATGTCATCATTTAAAAAAATATTAGATCAGATGATACTCAGTACTCAAGTAGCCTTCTAATCAGATACTTTTTTACCCTTACTTGAGTAATAAACCCTATATCAGGAAAATATTGTCCTCGGTTTGTGTCCTTCCAGTGAGCTTTGCAGATGTGGGAAAATGTCATCAGGCAGTAATCGTTGTTAAATTCATAATTATTCTCAGAGAGAGACCAACTCTTATCTGCCCCTGGGAGCCCCGTAATGCATAGCGTCATTTCAACATGGCGGTGTCCGCGACACGGTTTATATGCAGGTAGCGGCGCTGCGGCTGCTTTATATAGCAACTCGTTGCGTTCTCCCTCAACCCAAATCCTCGGATCACGCGTTTGAGCTAAAATGCTAACGTTAGCTTGCCTTGCGTTGACTGTAGAGTTGTGGGTGATGGTCACGCAGATGTGTCATGAGATTTGAAGCGTTGCTGCCTTTCACAGACACTTTTTCTGCACGTGCTGCAAACAGGATAGCCGTCTTCTATCAGCTGTCCCTCGGCATTCTTCAGATATCCAAAAAATGCCCGTACTTCCCACTTTGTCTTCTTTGAGGGATAAAAAATGTCCTGAGCGCTGCCGTCTCCTCCTTTGGCCATTATTTCAGCTTTAGCTTCAAGAAAGTTTTGGTTGTAAACAACAAAGTGCGCATGTGCCGCCGGCAACTTCAGCAGATGATACGGTGGCTGGTAAGGGTCACCGCGCCTACACCGCAGCCACGGTAATCCACCGAGATAATATAGTTTTTAAAAACAAGACGGTTATTATTATTGTCAACTTTTTTACCGGGGTTTACCGCTACACCGGTTACCGTGACAACCCTAAATCCGCTACAATATCAGCACAAGTCATTCTTTTACTTATTTCGCAGTGTGGAATGTCTGAAAGGCTTGATCAAGTGATATAGGGAGCATAAAGCCTGATTCATGCTTCTCCGTCAGCTCCGCAAGGGAGAGACACGCACGGATTGACGGAAGCGTTTTACTCTCATACTTCTCCGTCTCCTGGAGAGTGTAGCAAAGGGATTTCCCGCCAGGACAACAGAGGGCGTGACGCTGTTCCGTGGTATCCTGTCATGTATCAGTCCAAGATAGTGTGTTTATATTGGGGGTTTTGTATATAAGAGACTTTTTAACACAGACAAATTTGTCTCTCATCCTACTCCACCTCTTCATGCGCTCATTTCCGTCCACAAATAAAATGCTTGCTGCGCATCTTTTCACTCCTCCAGTCACGGGGAATTAAACGTTCATATTTTTAGAGTTTTTGCGCGAGGTATTCTTCAAGCTTCTCCGTGTCTGCCGCTAGTTATCCTCGGCTCTCTTTATGTTTTTGAGGGCGCAAGGGTGGCGGCGTAGACGACAGCGATGCCCTGACCAATCACAAGCTTGCGTTCTCCGTCTTAATTAATTTTTTCGTTCTTCCAGGGACCCACGAGCCAACCGGAAAGGGAGGAGACTTAGGCTGCCTATTACTCAATCTGAGAACAAGAGCCAATAATATTAAGTATGAAAAACCACTGGTTGCAAAAATGTGAACCTTAACGAACTACTTATATCGAAGAATTTTGATGTCGTCTGATATAATCTGATACGCTGTTACTTCTGATATTGATATTGGAATGGGACATCCCAAAAAGCGTATATAAATAAAAGATGTTTATTGGTCCAAATGTTTTTATCACATACATGACTATAATCCACCTTCTCAGTGGCCTAGTGGTAGAGTGTCCGCCCTGAGACTGGGAGATCAGGGTTCGATTCCTGGTCGGGTCATACCAAAGACTTAGAAAAAATGGGACCCAGTGCCTCCCTGCTTGACACTCAGCATTAAGGGGTTGGATTGGGGGGTTAAACCACCAGATGGTTCCCGAGCGCGGCTGTGTCTGCAGCTCACCGCTCCCCCAGGGGATGGGTCAAATGCAGAGATTAAATTTCGCACACACACCTGTGTGTGTGACAACTAATGGGACTTTAACTTTTTAACTTTATAAACCCATGAGATCACTGATTTTGTGGATAACAGATTTAGTGTTGCTCGAGACGCCTCTGGTAAAGTATTAATAACCTTCCTGTTTGGTAAACTGTGTCAGATTTCCACCAGAGAGCTAACGCTGGGGTCTCAACCAAAGGAACGCATTACGCCACCACCCGGCATACCCATCTTCAGATAAGTGCAGTGCATTAGACTCACACTGTTTATGCTGCTCTCTAAGTGCACATACAACTTCACTTCCACTGTGAACAAATTACAGTGCACTCAAACACACTTCAGATGCACAAACATAGCTGGTCTAATGTGGCCCTCCTCTCTCCAATCACACGCAGGTCACCGTGCACGTTTGCAGCGTTGTAATGCAGCCAGCGGAGAAAACGTGAATAATTTAGATGAGAATGATTCTTCTAGACCGTTCTCCAGCCAACTGCGTCGGCATCACAACGATGCTGATGCAACTTGTGTGTGTGCGTAGATAAGGGAGGGATGTAGCTCGTGCCAAGAACAAAGAGCTTGTGTGTGTGTTTTATTTTCAATCAAATGAAAGATGTGTGTATGTGGTCTGCTTCATACATGATGGAGGTTTACTTGCTTTGAGCCGAATGTCACGAAGCAAAAGAGCAGCAAAGCAGACGAGAAAAAGGTATCGGGAATGCAAACAGATGGGATGACACCAGTGTCCTTCTCTCCTCTCAGTCAAGTCTGCCAGTCCTGTCAGCACATCCCTCTCTCCATTTAACCACCACACACACACAAGCCCCTCTCACTCATTATCGCTCCTTCTTCCTCTCCCGTGCACTCATCTTCCTCCCTGTCCAGCACAGTGGAGCCACAATATGATATTTGCTGGGAAATTGGACTGGTTGCACTTACACAAAACCTGTGTGTGTGTGTGTGTGTGTGTGTGTGTGTGTGTGTGTGTGTGTGTGTGTGTGTGTGTGTGTGTGTGTGTGTGTGTGTGTGTGTGTGTGTGTGTGTGGTCCAACTGTGCGTCAAGGACAAGCAGCATGCTGCAGATAGAAGGACCCTGTCTTTGTTTGCAACTAAA